TATATATATATATTTATGATGACATTAAGGCCTTTCTTCCTGAAGCTTTCCATACTATTAAAACTGACATATTGGCCAATTCTGGTGCTAATCCTTTCAAAGCTGTTCACCCTCAGGCCCCTTTTTAATTCACACGACCCTTCATAAAAAAACTCATAGTATTCCAACACTCAATACCTGGAAAAACCTCCTCACAATTATCACAAAATTAATCTTGCCACACGTTTTATAACGCCTACCCTTATTAGAACCGCTGCTCTTATTCGTGACGATCAAATGACTTACTTAGCTAGTCACATGACTTACTTAGCTAACACCGTTGACATTGTTGGAAAAATGTGTGAAAAATTGCATTAAATGACTATTTTGGGGCAATTTGTTGAGTGGGGTCCACTTCCGATTTGAGTCGGGTCAAAGTGGTTTCGGATTGTCCTTACTTAGGGCTACAATTCGATATATGGTACGCTCAAAACGGATAACGGGTGAATGAGAAATTGATTCTCGAAGTTTACCCGTTAGAATGAGAAAACTGGGAAAAAAGATGGGTTTCTAGTGTGTTATTTCCCACACCGGAAAACCCAAGGGATTTGCAACCCTTTATAAAGGGACTCTCCCCTTAAGGAGTTAAGATTCCTTAGGGTAAAGGCTCTCTCCACGCGCGCAGGGGGTGCAAATCAAATCCCGAAATTGGAGAAGAAAACCGCGACTTGCGGGCAACCTGCGGACACGAATGTCATCCAAAAATCTATCTCTCAAGAAATACGGTGTTCTGGTGACGTCGGATACGAGGGGTTCTGTTTGCTGGCTTCGGACAGAACACCTCGTAGGGTGTTCTGTTGGGGGGTCTTCTGGTCTCGCATCTGAACGGTTCTGAACCGTTACAACAATTAATGTCCAACGTTTGTCTATTTTAATGCAGCATTAAATGGACAGTTCATGGATGATTCAATGCCCAACGGACTGGTCATTGATGTCCAACGTTCAAGTCCATTAATTCACCATTTACACACAACAAATCCTCCTATATAATGGTTGGCAGGTGGTTTACAGCAACACACGTTCCTACATACACGAGCTCACATATTTCTTCAGCTAAAAACACTTCCAGTCTCTCTGAAAGTTTTCTAAGTGTTCATATTGTGTTCTCGTTCGCTGGAACTCTTGTTTGTGTGCTCAAACATTAGTTCGAAGTCATCGTATCCTGGGAAACAATTGTTGCAACGCTCCTAGAACCATGGGAGGCAACAAATATGTTTTAATGACATCGTGCGTAGCACGAGCTTTGACTAATTTCTGCTCCATCTTATTTCTGTTTTCTTTCGTCATTTTAATTAATTTATTTTAATTAATTTTCTGTATTTTCCGAAACACACCCAACAGACCTCACCGTGGCTACCTATGATGCTATTATCGAAACTCTTCACACCATTCCTAAAATAAAGTTGACTAATTTTGTTATTGAGGTCGATAACACGAAGGTATATGAAGGAATCATGAGCTTGAGTCGCTTGACAAAACAACATTGGAGTACTTGGCCTCGTATCCAAGAGATTAAACGCAAGCTAAATTAAAGGCATACAATTGGAACCTCACCCAAATTCATCTTCAAACGAACATGGCGGCAGAATATCTGGCTTATAAGAGCATGTCTATAAAAACCAAGAATCATCATTTTAATCACTTTGTTGGTATTTTAAAATTTGACGCAATTACTTATCCTTATGTAATTTAATTTTGAGTAGGTTTTGATTCGGCCCCCTACTCTTTGTATTAAAAAAAACACATACACACGCAATTAAAAAAAAATAGAAAAATTAAACCCATGTAGAGAAGAATAAATTTAGTAACAAATTAAGAAAAACTGTATTCATTTACAACTTTTAGTTTTTAGGTCTTCAAACCATAGATTTCTATAGAGTTTTCTATTCGTTTATTGACTTTCATTGAAATTATATACTTATTTGAACTTTTGTATGCTACTGAGTACTGATAAGTGATGACTTTAAAAAAGCTTTAAATTCCTTTTTTTATGTTTAAATTAAAAAGTATGTCAGCATATAATACGGAGTAGTTTTTTAGTTGAAACCCTTTTGTCTAATTTAAACACTTAAGTCAAAAGTTGAAAACTGAGATAAAAGTGCTTTTATGTGCTTTTGTAAATAATTCAAGATAGTTCGATTCCTAAAGGTATTATGTAGTATGTTTTTTTCCAAAAAGAAGTTATTATGTTAATCCCAAACAAAACACCGTTCAAAAAGAAGGTATTATGTTAAATTGTTAATCCCCAACAAAACACCGTACAACGGTAAAAAAGACATACAAGAGCATCTCCGTTCATACTCCTCGATTTTACGGTTTTTTATGCTTGTTATTGAGATGTCACTTCCACATAAAAAATATTAAATAATCTCTAAATCAATCTATTTCTCCTCAAACATGATCTTAATTTACCTAGATTTTTTAAGAGACATACATTCAATTTCAAAATTTCTACCTTAAATGCACCCACATAGAGAATATATATGTATATATGCATACAGACATGTACGTATATATACCCAAACACATAAATAAAAATACACACATGCATGTCACTACTACTCCGTATAATACGTACGTAGTACTCCGTATATATTTATACACTCACGTTAGAAAAATATTAATATTATAAAGAATTCATGTTAAAAACAACTTGGCATATATATATATAGAGAGAGTCCCGTTCTTGTCCAGCCGGCCTGACGGGAACCGCCGTCCGGCCGAGGGCATTTCGGGCACTTCCCGATCGAAATTTTTGATGACATTTTTTGAGCATGTTCTTCATCAAGTCTAGTTTATCTATACCAAATTTTAGCTCAAAATTCGATCGGGAAGGCATTCAAATAATTTTTTGAAGTTGACTGCGTCAAAATATACATATAAAAACGCAGTCAACTTCAAAAAATGATTTGAATGTCTTCTCGATCGAATTTTGAGCTGAAATTTGGTATGGATAAACTAGACTTGATGAAGAACATGCTCAAAAAATTTCATCAAAAAATTCGATCGGGAAGTGTCCGAAATGCCCCCGGCCGGACGGCGATTCCCGTCAGGCCGGCTGGACATGAAGTTTAATATATATATATATATATATATATATATATATATATATATATATATAATAGAGATCAAATACAAAGCCTTCTTAATTTACAAAGTACAAACTCATCTTGACCGTCCGATGAGTTGATCCAAAGGACATAAAGGCAAGGTGGCATTTTTGTAATAAAACTCAACTTTTTAGGGTGCAACTCGTTGCACCTTAATGTGCAACTGCTATTTTTATGACTTTATAATATGCAATACTTTGAACCTCAATATGCAATGCAAATAACGTCAAGGTGCATCGTACAAATATTTGCACAATAAGCACACTTTGTACTTGATCTTTCCCCTATATATATATATATATATATATATATATATATATATATATATATATATATATATATATATATATATATATATAGGACTGCTCAGGTCCCTCCGGAGGGACGGGAGGGACCGTCCGAACTTCACTGTTTGGGGCGGTTCCAGTGGAATTTTTTGATGAAATTTTTTGAGCATGTTCCTCATCAAGTCTAGTTTGTCCATACCAAATTTCAGCTCAAAATTCGACCGGGAAGGCAGTCAAATAAATTCTTGAAACTTACTGCACTTTATATATGCGCAGAATGTGCAGTAAGCTTCAAGAATTTATTTGACTGCCTTCCCGGTCGAATTTTGAGCTGAAATTTGGTATGGACAAACTAGACTTGATGAAGAACATGATCAAAAAATTTCATCAAACAATTCCACCGGGGACCGCCCCAAACAGTGAAGTTCGGACGGTCCCTCCCGTCCCTCCGGAGGGACCTGAGCAGTCCTATATATATATATATATATATATATATATATATATATATATATATATATATATATATATATATATATATATATTATTACTTTTAAGTATTCTATTAAAAATATATGCATTCTGCGAAGTGGTCGATCTACACTGCAACAGAAACAAGCTTTTAATGGTCCTGACTTTTAATGTTCGTATTTTACTTTCAATTTTTAAAAGTAAAATTAGTAGAGAATAAGAAGAACAACGTTAACCGTGAATGCCTAGAAAGTGGGGTGGGAAATCCAGATTAAGAACAACAACGTTAACCGTGAATAATCTTAATTGAATAATCCAGATTTAAAATTTTTTACCAGATTTTTTCATAAATAATCTCTTCAAATAACTCAACTTCTCGAATGTAATCTCCAAAAGTATCATCTAAATCATCAAAATAAACCACTAAAAAAAATCATGGTTGTGGATGCCCTAAGAGCATCCCATTCATGATCTCTAATACCCAATTTTTTCTATCATTCTTACCATTTAAATATTGTTATGTAATTAATTTTAAAATAATCTCAAAATTCATTTATGCCTCTCAATCATCATCTTCAAATAATATGCTTTATCTCTATCCTGCATTAATCTCTATTACACATACTTTTCAAATAATCTTAGAATAATCTGAATTCATATTTTGATCCCAGATTATTGTAACAAATAATCTCATTAAATATTCTATGTCACTCAATGATAATTCTCTAAAAAATGTCATGTCACCCATTTAATCTCATAATAATCCTACCAATGAGGATGTTCTAATAATGATTGAAAATAGGAACTAAGAACAATAAATGCTTGTTTTATAACCCAGCCTCCCAACATTATCAATCAACTTTATACCTTTAATTTGTGCGCTGAAATGCTGAATTGTGTAATACTAAAAAATAAATAAAGTTTTGAAATTACTTTTGTGATTAAATTGATTAAAATTGATGAAGATGATTATTTGAACTATAGTGAAAATTACTTTATTAATAAATGTACATTAAATATATTTTTCACAATCCAACAACTTAAACATGATTCCATAATTTCAACTAGTTGCAGTATTATCAAATAGATTTTTATTCTACACATTCCCGCCAATCATATTTAACCTATCTTCTTTCCGAATTCCTAAATTTCTGTTAACAACAGAAGAGTAGAGTATAGAGATAACAAGCCAAGAACACCAGACACATTAAGCAATGTCAAACTCCAATATGAATGCGGTTAAAAATACAACTCACTATGCTTGGAACATGCGTCTATCTACAAAACCTCATTTTAGGCTATAGTAAAACATATATTAAATATTCTCACACATTGATCCGCCCCACACGAGGCCAGCTGCATGGCATTGGAATCTTCTCTTCCCTCTGAATTTCTCCATGCTAACCGGTTCACCATCGAAACATGGCACATAAAAGGATCGAACTTAACAGCAAGAGCAGAGGTAAGTGCTGAGATATTATCATCTTTGCCTCTTGCATTTTGCAGGCTCCATAATTCAATTAAACCATTTTCCATCCCTACCGCAAGAAGGCCATGGTTGTTATGCCGATTTAGGCCAATCCAAGAGAGTGCTGTCACGCTACTGTTGAATGGTGGCAGAGTAAGGAGTTGCTTAGCTGAAGCTTCGCTTTCAACTGCCCAGATTTTGACAGTCTTGTCCCTTGAACCAGTGGCAAATTCATGACGATATGGGTTCCAAGAACATGCCCATATAATTCTTTTATGTGCCTCCTGCTTAGTTACAAGCTGGTATGCTGTGTCATCCGACACTGTGACAAGGTACATCCAGAAAGCATTATTTACAAGCATTATCTCTTAGATTAACTCAAGCAAATTGCCTATACTTACTCTCCCAAAATAAGATTAATAGTTACGATTCATGCCGTCAACTTAACTTCCTCTAAATCTCCAAATTTATGTACCAAACTTTTGTCATATTCAAATTTTGGTTTCTTGCAGCTCAATAGAACTTTATTATAGTTTCTAAATATGTAAATTGCAATTACTAACACTAATTTATACTCCCTCCGTCCCATTTTACCTGCCCTACTTTCCTTTTTGGGCTGTCCCAAAATAAGTGTCTACTTTCCTCTTTTAGAAAGAAATATGTGGTCTACACCATTTCACTTTATTATACTCAAACCTCAACCACAACTTTCACGTTTTCAACCACTTCATTAATAACCGTGCCAAGTCAAACTAAGACACATAAAATGGGACGGAGGTAGTACTACATATGTTATTAGGAGAGAATTATTTATATCCTCAATCAAACAATGGTAAAAGTTGTCACTCGTGTACGTTTTAAAAAAAATACATATTCCCTCCTTATTGTATCTTCATCGACTCATTCTTGAAATAAGAAAGATGTTATAAAATGATAAATGCCAGAAATACCACCGTCATCAATATACAGGCTCACATAAACCAAAAATGAACACAACTGCATCACCATCACAAGTACTTTATATGGTTAATCTACCTGTATGTTTAATTGAGAATACGGAAAAGTGGCGATCCCTTGAAACTGACAGAAGATACTTGTCATCATGAGAAAACTCCATCTGTGTCACAGTCAAGCTGTGTGAATGCAAGCGGTCAACTGACTTCCAAGAACCCACTTGCCACAGCCATATTTCTGCAACTGATGCTGATTGAGCCTGAACACATGATAGCAAGTCAGGAGTCATTTAATGTTGCTTTTGAACTTTGTAGGAAAAAACCAAAGTAGAGTTAAGAGAGAAAATCAGCATTTGTAATGCACCAGAGGATTAAAACAACTATTTTGACAAGTGACTGATGTGCACCTTTCATCTAGTCTGGTACATTCATCATCAACATCATCATTAACCCAGTGGGGTCAGATGTAAGCAGTCTTACCCATGTACTAAAGCAGAGAGACAGTTTCCGGATGACCCATAGTGAAATTACATGCACTAACTACTACTTCATAGTAAAGAAGCGCAGACAGTTTAGTGAGGCATTTTGCTTTATTCTATCATATTCCCAAGCCAAAAAACGTGAGCCTTTTGGCTTGGTCTGGTGATTATATATAATAATTTGATAAATGACCTCAAATTATGCAATATGCATGCATTTTATCATTTTATGTCTTCATGGAAAATAGAGACAAGAATAGCACAACTACAAACCACAAAGTATTTGTATAATGTCAAGCACATGTGTAAAAACATTTATCCATAAAAAAGCAAGGTAGCTCTAGATATGTTATTTTACATACCTTGCATGACGAAGCAACTAGCTTTCCCTCATGATCACAGCATAATGAATACAGTTCATTCCCATGACCATATAGTTTGTGTGTCTCTGGCCATAGAGTATGCCAGGACAGTTGGTCTTCAATGGGTGGCTCAGTTAAGACAATTGGAACCGCTTCAGGGACAGTTTCCATGGTATCAATACCTTCACTAGTGGTAACCTGATTTGCCTCTGATGAAGCTGCTAAAATATGATTAACTCATAAATACACAGAAAAAATATGCTATGAATAGCTTAAGAATGAAGAGTAAATATGACAAAAGTCAGAGATCAGAAGACAAATTCCAGCTTAAGGAGATCAATGGACAAGGATACATAAACTTAAGAACTATGTGGATATGTAGTCAAGTAGGGTTGAAATTTGAAATCAAATCAAATATATTTAATTTAGTTTGAGATTCAAATTTGTATTATATTCATATCCAAATAGTCCAAAACATTTGCGGGATGAGCTAAACAGTATACTTGAAAAGTTGAAAATTACTTATAAAAGAAGTTACTAAAACATATTACTTTCAACTCATAAAGTATAACTTACATTAGATTGCCTGGAGGCAACCTAACTTGAATAATTCAAACAAACTAACAAAAACAGAACCGAACTTGCCATGAATATATATAGGTTTCTGTGATAAACCTAGAGCAGACATATTTGCACCCAAAATCTGCACTTCAGCTTGCAGGTTATCAAAAACACTGCCTTTATCTGAAGTAAAATGATCCAATGTCTTCAGAAATGATAGAGGAGCTTCAAAAACTCTGGCGACTTTCTCATCCGCGCCTCCCACAAAACGGTGGTTACCCTTCCCTTGTATAATTGTCACACAATTTATATCATGTCCATGAACTTGTGGTCGGGCAATTTCATGCCATGACTCTCCATTCACAGAACAATTATTATTGGACCATGGAGCAAATATTCTGGTTGTCTGGAATAGCAAAATACGGCTTTTAGAATTTTATAAAACGTGTGGCAATACCAAAATATGGCTGCTAGACAAAATGAAACTAGGGAATTGAAACTGTCAAGGATTCCTACTGCCTACACGAACTTACAACAACAACATCCAAGCCATACAAGAACTTAGATGCAAATATTTTGTGAAAGAAAAATCAATGTGACAAATGTTTGGTCTGCATTATGCTAACAACTGAGGGTTTGAGCCTATTACAAAATACAACAAGGTGTGCAAAACATAAAAACACAAAAAAAAAACTACAAACTAAATAAAAGACCAAAGAAACACTTAATTAGTTGTTCTACGAGCTATAACTTAAGATATGACTTTTACAACAACTAATTATAGGGAAATGGTGCACAATTCCTGTAATGCTGCCTTGAAGTGCTAGATCGTCCTTCAAAGTTTTAGGTACAAATATGTCACTAATGTTTTCTTCTGGGAGCAGATTGGTCCTTGATGTTTGCTTCCATGTCAGTAAGTCAGATTGCCCCTATACACTCTTGTGTGGGACCTTTCGCCTGACCCTCGCCTTGCGGGGACACCAATATGCACCAGGCTACCTTTTTTATTGTTTAATACTTCTTCGCAATATAGTAAGTTAGTAACTGAGAATTGACATACAATGCACAGTTGCTCTTTTATTGTTGTGGAGACGGCCACTTTTTGAAGAATTTCCCATCATCATATTTCCAGTACCACTCACTCACATTATCACATTCAGGACTTATTTCAAAAACAAAAATCAATATACCACCATAGTTGTAATGGCGTGATCTAGGCAATGACTAAGCATCCAGGCAGTAGAGAATGCGACGAGGCCCACGACTACACATCTTGCTTGATGTCTAGGCATTCATAGCGAAGCTCAAAATTAGTATTTTGTTTTTTTCATTTAGGCACCCAACCTGCCAAATTTGCATTTTCCTTCTTATATTTCTTCATCATTTCTTCAATTTTCTACATTTCCGCTTCTTTTCACCCTTGAAGTTACTTTTCACTTTTGATATTTTCATTTATTTAGAAGTTACTTTTCCATCATTTGCAATGGAACCAAAGACTCACTATTTTTTGACATGATTTTCATTATGGGTCATCCAAACTGACAATGTTTTACGCGATTTTCACTATGGGTCATTTGGAAACAGTCTCTTTGTGATTTAGTACAAGAGTAAGACTGTGTACATCTAACCCTCCTTACCCCACAGTAGGTGTGAGCAAGGTTTAGGAAGGCAAAATTAGGTCCCAAGGCATTTGGTGGTAGCCTCACGAGGCGTAGAGATTAATTGCTCAAATACTAAACAATACCACAACTAAACAAAATCACAAGTAAAAGTAACATAACAATAAAATATCCCAGTCAAAGTAACATAAAACTGAAATTACCAAAGTCAAAAGAACATAGGCTCTCACCTACAGTGGGGAAAGAGGAGTCAGATGTACGCCCAGTAAGAAGTCTTACCCCTGTACTAAAGCACAGAGAGACTGTTTCCGGATGACCCATAGTGAAAATCGTGTCAAAAATTGCATGCAGTGACTACTGCATCACAAAGAAGCGCAGTTTAGTGAGCTATTTTGGTTTATTCTATCATGTTCCCAATTCAAAAGAACATAAACATTAAAGTTCCAAGACAAAAGAACATAAAAGTTTAGAGATTTAAGTTTGCAATGTGACAAATCGCAACTATTTATCTTCGAAACTAAGCTTATTTTCCATTTCATCAGTACCCGGATTAGTAATGTCATTCTCATCACCTTCCTTATCATGATCCTCATTATCTTCTCCGGTTCCACCCGTAAGGCCCCTACACACATAAAGTCACAAAGAAGAGAATGAACCACGATCCTAGTAAAGTGTAAATAATTTTGCTTAAGTTACAAAGAAATAAAATATTAAGTTATGAACCTCTAAATTCGTTATCTATTTCATTAACAACTAATGCAAGTTCATCACCTGCAGCCGCACTTTCTCCATTATCTACATTCGGTTCAGCGATCCACTCCTCATCAGATGATACATTTTGAAAGACCAAATTATCCTCTTTCTTTTGTAATTGGCTCTTCCGAAACTTAAACATCTCGTTGAACATTATAAACACCGAATTATTCAACTTAATGGTTGAAAGACAATTCCTTCTCTTAGTGTGGACTTGGTTGAATGTGCTCCAATTTTGTTCACAAGAACACGTCAAACCAAGAATTTTGACTGCAAAAGCCCGTAGTTTTGTAATATGATCCCAGTAAAATTTAAAAAAATGTTAAATAGCTAAAAATGTGGTTTTATAGCCTTGGTAGGTAACGCAGTTTTTAATGCATAGAAACTACAATTTTCAATTTAGACGTGTTTTATATGAATTTTGCGCTGCCCTCACTTCAAAAAGTTTTCGCTTGTATCGGTATTCATCCATTTGTGCATTAGCTTTGACAAAATCATTACTATCACAAATCAGTCTTTCCATACAAGTGTATAAACCTTTCTTAACCACCAAATGAGTAGTGAAGTTATCCTCCCATTTGAATCTAAGATTCAAATAATACGCTGTAGTTGGAGCTCCCATTTTTCATCAATTATCCTCCATATCTCACTATAAGTGGGATATTGATCTCCAGAGCATCGTAGACCAATCCCATAATGGGCTCATCACCATCAACAATTCTCGACACTTTAACTAATAACTTTGTTGTCTTTATTGAGTAAGCAACACCAATCCAAAAGGTTCTCTCATCCATCATAATCTTTTTAACTTCCTTCCCCTCTACTAAAATTGCATAACGACTTGACGTCCATTGTTTAGAAACAAACATTCTTTGCAGAGGATCTTTTACGGTGGCCATGGAAACTAAAGTCAAGAATGCAATAGCAGACCTTTTGGGGCCCGGACAAACTAGGTCTTTCCCAATATACTTTCTTATAAGCTGCAAAACTCATCCACGATTATAGATAAAATTAGTGACCTTAGCTTTGATCAACACATTTTTATTTTGTGTTAATTCTCCAATCTTCTCAAGCAAGAGATCAATATAATGGGCGGCACATGGAGTCCAATACAAGTGTTTCCTCCTCTCCATTAGATGTCTCTCAGCAGCTTTGTATGCACTGGCATTATCTTTCACGGTTTGCACAACCGGATGTTTTCCTATTTCCTCAACTACTTCGCCAAGCAATTCTAAAAGATAAGTCACATTCTTAACTCGACCCGATGCATCAATAGATTTGAGGAAAACAGCACCATATTATTGTTAACAAGTATGTTAAGAAGCCCTTGATTTCTTATGTCACTCCACCCATCTTACATTATTGTAACTCTAGTGTGCGACCATCTCTTCTTTACTTCTTCCACATATGTGTTAGTGGTATCACGCTATCAGAATCCATATCAGCAACTCATGCATAGATGGGGTTTAAACCTTGCACCATAATTACTAACAAAATGCAACATTTATGCATACATGGTTGTGCAAATCGTGACCGATAATGTCGGTGCATACAAATCTGCTAGGAGATTTCTAAAGGAGAAGAAGCACTTGTATTGGACTCCATGTGCCGCCCATTGTAATGACCTCATGCTTGAGAAGATTGGAAAATTAACACAAAATAAAAATGTGTAGATCAAAGCTAAGAAGGTCACTAATTTCATCTATAATCGTGGATGGGTTTTGCAGCTTATGAGAAAGTATATCAGGAAAGACTTAGTTGTTCGGGCCCCACGAGGTTTGCTATTGTATTCTTGACTTTAGATTGCATGGCCACCGTAAAAGATCCTCTGCAAAGAATGTTTGTTTCTAAACAATGGAATTCAAGTCGTTATGCAAATTTAGTAGAGGCGATGGAGGTTAAAAAGATTGTGATGGATGAGATAACCTTCTGGCCTGGTATTGCTTACTCAATAAAAACAACAAAGACATTAGTTGAAGTGTTCAGAATTGTTTGTGGTGATGAGCCCGCAATGGGATTGATCTACGGTGTTATGGATTCGGCAAAAGAAAAAATTGCATAGAATTTTGGAAATCAATATCCCACTTATAGTGAGATATGGCATACATGTCGTGCCGGATAACTTGAATCCCATATTCAAATGGGGGGATGACTTCTCTAGTCATGTTAAGAAAGGTATGTACGCTTGTATGGAGAGACTGATTTTTTATAGTAATGATTTTGACAAAGCTAATGCGCAAATGAATGAATACTGATACAAGTGAGGACTCTTTGGAATGAGGACAACGCAAAATTCATATAAAACAAGTCCCCTTGGTAAACATTAAACAATTAAACTATATCTTTATACATATTGTTAAGTTAATAACTAAAAACCGCATTTTGTTTTTATAGTATATCTTTATACGTATGTAAATTTTTAAGTTTTAAAATCAAACTAAAAACTGCATTTTGTGTTTATTTTACTTAAACTGAAAACTGCACTTAATAACTAAAAATGATTTTTTTCTATTATGTAAGGTCCTAAAAAGTGTCTTACCTGCCAAAGTCGTAAAACTGCATCTTTTAGCTATTTAACATTTTTTAAATTTTAGTGAAATGGTGGGATCAATTTGGAGATCATATTCCAGAACTACAAACTTTTACGGTCAAAATTCTTGACTTGGCGTGTTCTTCGTGAGCTTGTGGGCGAAATTGGAGCACATTCAATCAAGTCCACACTAAGAGAAGGAATCGTCTTTCAGCCATTAAGTTAAATAGTTTGGTGTTTATAATGTTCAATGAGAGGCTGAAGTTTAGGAAGAGCCGATTACAAAAGAAAGAAGATAATTTGGTCTTCGGAAATGTATCATCTAATGATGAGTGGTGATGAGTGGATTGCTGAACCGAATGCAGATGACGGAGAAAGTGCGGCTGCAGGTGATGAACTTGCATTAGTTGTTAATGAAATGGACAATAAATTTAGAGGTTCATAACTTAATATTTTATTTCTTTGTTACCTAAGTATAATTATTTACACTTAACTAGGATCCCGGTTCATTCTCTTCTTTGTGATTTTATGTGTGTAGGGGTAGACCTTACGGGTGGAACTGGAGAATATAATGAGGACCATGATAAGGAAGGGAATGACAATGACAATGACATTACTAATCCGGATACCGATAAAATGGACGATAGGCTTGGTTTTGAAGATTAATAGTTGCGATTTGTCAATTTGCAAACTTAAATCTCTAAGCTTTTATGTTCTTTTGTCTTGGAATTTTAATGTTTTATGTTCTTTTGAGTTTTGACTTTGGTATTTTAGTTTTATGTTATTTTGACTTGGATATTTTATTGTTATGTTATTTTCACTAAGTGGTTTTGTTTAGCTGCGGTATTGTTTAACATTTAAGCAACTAATGTCAAGGCTTAGTCCTCATTACGCCTCGTGAGGCTACCACCGAACTCCTCGAGGCCCGATTTTGCCTTTCAAAACCTTGCTCTTAACTATAAGCATGGCAGCGGCTTAAATTGTGTAATAACACCTGACTCCTAGGTAGTACATACTTCGAGGATGCTATGGAAATCCACAGACTCTCAACAAGGAATTAGAGGGTAATAAAGTGAGTAATTGACTATGAAATAATGCATGAAATCCCATAGGAAAAGAAATAACTCTATCTAACTTCCCTTGAAAATGAGGGAATAATTTACCTGGTCATGACTGACAGATAGAAGATACTCTCCACACCTAGCCCATGAGATGTCTGACACTGATGCAAAATGTCCAGAAGCTACTTTTTGTGGCTTCCAATCATCAATATCAGCACCAACATTTTTCCAGAGATGGAATGACCCGCCATAGCCGTGAGCTAAAAATGAATTTCCACATGGACTCCAGTGACCTCCATAAAATCCCAAGGCACAGTGGCTTAGCTCACCAACAGTTACCACATTCATCCAGATGCCAGTTGTCTTTTCAGGTTTCCATATCATCATTGTCTTATCCATTGACGCAGATAAAATGCTTTGAGGTTGATAGCATTCACCTCGTTCATCAGATGAACCCGATGGGGGTTGCCACTCCACTGAATATGCCCAATCTTCATGCCCAATGAGGAGAGCCTCCATTGAGACTTGATAAGAGGATGAACCAGCTACAAATGCAGGACCTTTGATGTAAAATTCCAAACTCATTTCTTGCTTCCTGTTATTTGCTACCATGTCTCGTAAAACCAATTTCCATAAGCGAATTCCTTTATCTTGGGATGAACTTACCAATAGAATGCTGGTTTCGCCATTTGTATGTATAGGTAACGAAAAATCCAAGCTCCGAATCCAGTCTGTGTGCGATTTTAGCTCACAGGCAGGAAGAAACTAAGGCATGGCATATACAGAAATTTTAATTTAGCGAAACAAAAATATAAATTGACAACTGGAAAGGAAGGAAAAAACTTGCTTCTCATACTTTTCCAGTCCTCTCACCACAATATAGATGGACTTTACAGTCCAAGCCTCCCATGGCCAGTACCAGGTGTTGGCTCCTAGGCAACTCTGCTAGAGAGAGAGAAACCATAGGTTTGCGACCGACAGATAAAGAATCCAAGCACGATAACTTACAGTCACCTGAATCCAAAAAACAAGTTAATCGGAAAAATATTGAGCAAATGAGTATCTCGTGCGATATGGAAAAATATAGTTCCGGTAAACCAAATAAATGGAATAGGGTTATAGGGAGATAGGATGTCAGGGATTTTGAGATGAGATATGAACTCCACTCACTTCATATACTTTTTTCTTGAATATACTTATCACATTATAAGCAAGTAGAAGTTACTAAGTTAGCATTTGCATAATTGCATTACACCTCCATCCCCAAAGGTGGGCTGGATATAGAGCCAAGATGACAACTGTTTTCAGAATATTGCTTCACACCTTGATAATGTGTGCGCGCCTAACTCACCGAGATACAGAAAATACAATCTATTTTGAGGCAGAAAGAACATCATATAAATGTTAGGATCATGGGCTAAGGAGAATAATAATAAGAATATTAGAATAATAACAAATAATTATGATAGTGTATTAGAGAGGTTTGGACCTGGTATTAGTTAGCTTTGGCTGGCCCATAAGGAAAAGATATAAATAGGAGTGGGGGTAGAATAAAGGGGCAGGCAGAAATTAGTTCAGTCTGGGACTTGGGAGTGCGGAAGACTACTCGAAGTGTCTTCACTGTATCTTTCTCTTTTCAGTTTTAATCAATTTCCATCTTAATCTACTGCAATTTACCTTCAAATTCACGGGTACCTAACATTGTTATCAGAGCACTCACGCTCCTGGAGACACAGACCGAATCGGATCATCACCAGAGTACTGATGGAGCAGCGATTGGAGAAATTGGAACTCACTGTTGCTGAGAATCGATCGCGGATGGTCGAGAGGATTGCTGAGGCTCAAACGAAGTTGATCGACCTATGTAACCGACTGAAGGACCAAAATCGCCGGCGACATAGAGGACGTTCCAGAACCGTGAAGCGTTGTAGGAACTCTGGAAGCACAGCTTCATCAACGTCGATCGTCAATCCTCACAGTTCACCATCGCAAACAGCTTCGTCCAGTGCAGCAGCTTCGCCGCGATCAGATTCTCTGAAATCGCAGGTGTTGTCCCAGTCGCAAGCAACCTTCCCTAGTTCCCAGGCTCCCTCGCGAGCAGATTCTCTCAGTTCGCGCCAAAGTACGAAGCCATCGAGAGGAGAATCTCTCAGTCCTCAGACGACAGCCAACAAACCTGAGGAATCTAGGAACCAAGGACATAGGCGAGCCAGAAGTGGGATAGAATTGCCGCTATTCATTGGCGAGGACACCTACGGTAGATCTTCGGAACCACTGCTTCTGTTGAAGGGTGTTTCAGGTGACCTGAGAGAAAACGGAGAAAATACAGGTAAGTGCTCCTACCATTATTATGAAAGCGAGGAGAGATCTTCTGTGATTGCTGGACTGGAAGCTGAAGGAAACTTTCAACCTGAGAAAATGGACTTATGCTCCAATAATCCAGAAGGGAACTATTACAGTTTTGTTCTCTCAATGGAATCAAGGCTAGTCTATGATAAGGCAACACATATGAAGGTAATAATGAAGGTTTTATCCAGTACAGAGGCAGGTGAATTGATTGGGAGTGGTGTGTTAGTTGTTGATATGCTAACCGCAGTTCATGAAGCTTCAGAAGGAACTGTGATACCTTGGCAATCCCACTTAAGAGCTACTATGGCATTTAGGAAGGTCTTGAAGGAATGGATGTGTGTGAACAAGGAGGGTTTACAAGTGGGTACAGTTGAGAAGGATGGTGGTGGGATGTACTGGAATCCTTTTCACCCTGCTCAACCGTTCTCAGCTATTGGAACCACGAATGGTAGGCTGAAAGTCATGGGAGGGAACAAGATTGGAGGCCTTATGGTCAGGGAGCTGGAAAACAAACACTTGTCTTCCAAATTAAAAGGGGAGTCAAACACACCCACATTCTCTGCTATCTATGGCATTCATTACACGTTTATGGAGATGAACAATGATGATATTCAACCCACAGGACGTCCACCAGATAATCTGGAAGGGGCAGAAAATGTTGAGGCGGATGCCAGCTCACTTTCAAAGCCTCCTTTGCTTGAAGAGACAGTTGCTGAAGCTGCAGAGGACATATGGGATCACTATGGATATGAACTAGGGACTGATAATTCAGGAATCTTCAAAGCGCTCTCGAACATTAATTTTAACATTAGAGTTGCAGCTGCTGAAGCAATTGTTGCAGCTTTAGATGATAACCCTGATACAAGTCAGGAGTCGCTACCAACATTATTTTCATTGTATATTCGTGATGCTGGACTTGATGAGCACATCATTGATACTGACTGGATAGGCAGCCAAGGGATTGCATTGGCTTCATACTCTGTTTCTGAAGTGCTTAGAACCAAAGATCTTCATGTTGTCATGACATTCCTAACATCAAGAGCGCTGGCTGATCCTAAGGTGGACGTTTGGGGAAGAATGATTAATGCTGGTATACTGATTATGGACAAGCCGGGAAATAAAAATGTCTTCCTGCTATTCTTAATATCTGAGAATTACTTGAACAAAAAGGCATCCGCTGAAGAGAGAAATGATTTGGTGCATGAAGGTGTGGTGATAATCACTTGTGCCCTTGCAAAGCATGTGATGAAGGATGATCCAAAGGTTCTTGCTGGTGTTGAAAAGATGCTGGATGTACGGAACACTCCTGAAGCTGTTCAAAGAGCAGTTTCCTCCTGTCTTTCTCCTCTTATGCAACTAAAACATGAGGATGGGCCTGTTCTTAATTTGAGGCTTCTAGATAAATTAGGATGTTTTCTTTTGGACTGAAATTTGTTGGTCTAGTCTGGTAAACATCTGGTCTTTGTGTATTTTATAACTACGGAAGTCTGGTCTGATCTGGTCTGGGACTGAAAACAGTCCAAAAGAAAACATCCTTAATGAAGAGTGACCAGTATGGGAAGCGCCGAGGAGCAGCTCTTGCATTCTCTACAACATTATTTGGTTTTGCTGGTGACGCTCCAACCTGTAGAGACTTGGTTAGTGGTCCTGGTGCACTCTTACCATTGTGAGGACAGTTGAATGAGCCAGAAAAGCTTTCTATGTTGAGAAACACAACATGGACTTTGTTAAACTTCTGTCAAGGCCAGTCACCAACACCACTTGACCTGGTCAAAGCTGCATTGTGAGTTCTTCGGCAACTAACCCATATGAAGGAGGAAGAAATGATGAAAGTGAAAGAAGTGAAGCTCCTAGATCAGAAATCAAGGAGATATTGGGAAGGAAGAGGCGCAAGGATGAAGGTGAACCTGAAGATCAAGGCTGTTTCATATTACCCACCTTGAGGACAAGGTGGCTGTCCAAGGGGGGAGATATGTTAGGATCATGGGCTAAGGAGAATAATAATAAGAATATTAGAATAATAACAAATAATTGTGATAGTGTATTAGAGGGGTCTGGGCCTGGTATTAGTTAGCTTTGGCTGACCCATAAGGAATAGATATAAATAGGAGTGGGAGTAGAATAAAGGGGCAGGCTAGTTCAGTCTGGGACTTGGGAGTGCGGAAGACTACTCGAAGTGTCTTCACCGTATCTTTCTCTTTCCAGTTTTAATCAATTTCCATCTTAATCTACTGCAATTTACCTTCAAATTCGCGGGTACCTAACAATAAACCACCTAACAGATCAAAGATTTAGGGACCAAAGAGATCAAGGATATCAACAATGCAAACTGCCAAACTGGCCAACTGTAACCTTTGTTCCTCAAGTTTTTAGCTGAAATATCTGAAAATATTAAGCAGTATAACACACTCTTTGAGTTCCAATTAACAACTCACTTATTCCAGGTTTGTTTAAGAAAATATCCACAAAATAAACCTTTGTTCCTCAAGTTCTTAGCTTAAATATCTGAAAATATTAAGCAGCATAACACACTCTTTGAGTTCCAATTAACAACTCACTTATTCCAGGGTTGTTTAAGAAAATATCCGCAAAATAACAACAACAAAAAATTACAGAACTAGGTAAAGAGAGTGGGAATATATGTTAAGCTGCTTGCTGAGATGAAACTACCCGTACTTCCTCTAAAAAAATACTCAAACTCCACGAAAATCATATAAAAAATAAGTAGGTAACTTGCCTCCATAAGCAGATGGAAGGATCAACTCCCATACATTTACAATACCATCTGAAGATGTGGATGCGAAAAGTGACTCTTGATGAGAAATTAATACTCCAGTAATGCATGTAACTCCCTTCTTGTGGGATTGTGGCAATTGTAACACATACCTCCACTGTTAAGAGAATGTAAAAAAAATATGAATTTTTCCATTGATTAGGTAATAGAGCATGCACTTAATAGACTTCTTCATCGTGCAATAATTACACTAGAGTAGTGGGAAAGTCGCCTTGTAGAAAACTAGAAAAGGATAACTTTAGCTAACAACACCACTGAACATTTAAAAAGTTGTCATGGGTGCAACTTGCAAGCAATATTATGGAGCAGCGCAAGCTTTTCAGCATGAATCTTTTGAACTACTATATTCAATAAAAATGAAAAGAGAAGACAAGACATTGGCACATTGGAATTAAGAAAGAAAAAACTAACTAGTTAAGTCATACAAAAACACATTTTTCATTCCCCCTACATATGTTTTTCTTCATGTACCACTAGCAAGAATATAAGAAGGCACCTCACTACGCACGGAGCTTATCAAAATCAGATATACTACTACATTTCATCATTTTTATTCAAATTGTGGTACTAAAAATTTTGATATAATTGACATCTTGAGTCTTAACTCTTACTCTCTCTCTCTCTCTCTCTCTCTCTCTCTCTCTCTCTCTCTCTCTCTCTCTCTCTCTCTCTCTCTCTCTCTCTCTCTCTCTCTCTCTCTCGAGTATGCTATCAAAGTGCCTTATACTCCCTCCGTCCCCCAATTAAGTTCTCACTTTCCTTTTTGGGCAGTCCCTAAATTAAGTTCACACTTCAATACTTTCCTTATTTGGCAAATTATCTACATCAAAACAGTGCCAAACAGTGCCAAACAGTGTCAAACAGTGTTTAAACAGTGCACTCCACAGTAAAGTCAAATTTATTTTCTTAATATGTGTGAAGTCAAACCAGGAACTTAATTGGGGGACGGAGGGAGTATGTCCCTATTTTATTTTCAACTTAGTAACCATTCATACGGCTGCGTTTAGTAGCACTTTTCAATAGGAGCGGATGATCTATAGTTGAACCTATGTCGGGCATAGAGATACTCAATAGAAGTGGAGTCATTATAGTATTTTGGCAAAATATACATTAGACATATTGAACTTAAGCTAACAGAAACAATGATATAGTAATACATACAAATCTTGTGATCTATGGTGTATGACAAGTTTAAACGAGAAACGAAGTTGGTGTAATAAAATCACATTTTACGATAAAGAAGAAATAAATTAATATTCAGTCCCTATATATCCAGCACCTAACATTTACAATTAAAATGCATTAGATTATTTAAATACTAATTTTATTAAATTTTTCAAGATTCTTAATTTTACACTATTCCAACATATGTACAATTGAAGTATAACCATTGTTAAACATTTAAAAACAATTAATTTTATAAAAAAATCTCATACTTTTTAGACTTTATCCATTCTCAACTAGTTTAAACTAAAACTTAAAATATCATTAATCATTTTCCTAAGCTGTCCATCTATATTTAATGGATGTACGCCATGTACTATAAATCCACTGTGAAAACAAGTTGAAATACTTTTATAGATCTAATGTAAGTTAGTACTCGTTACTTCACCGGAGACAAGTTGAAGTACTTTATAATCTTTGATGTAAGTTTATATACTCTTTACTCCACCAGAGAAAAATTCAAATACCAAATTGACACTTCTCTCATACACAAATTGGTGGCTAAGAAAGAAACATTTGGTCCATCTATACCTTTACAAACTTATAAATTCAGTAGTGGTTTTGCTAAAAGAGATTGCATGAGTTGAACTAGCATTCTCCGCTACGAACCTATGAAGAATGTCAAGATCTCACTATGAAATAGGATGGAAGCAGATTTGTTCAATAATTGTTTAAACAAATGTTGAGAAAAACATATTTATGTTAGAGAGAATTCCCTAAATAGGAGTAAAAACGTTTTGAAATTCCAAAATAAGAGTATCATGTTTTTTATTCCCTGAATAGGAGTAAATTTCTGCCAAGTTTGGCATTACAAGGCTTTTAAACATGGCATTTTTTTCCAAGCTTGGCAGATTACTCCTATTTAGGGAATAAAAACATGATACTCCTGTTTTGGAATTTCAAAACATTTATACTCCTATTTAGGGCAATTTCTGTTTATGTTATGCCTAACCGGATGGTATCACATAGATTTCAGAATACGAGAGAGCATTCACAAGATCTTCCACAGAATATATGATAAAACTATGTGTTTGTACTTCGTAAATCGTAATTCATTATGTTGAACTTAAAATATGGACTATGGAGTGATAATTATAGTTCCCATGTGCGATGTAGTTGGCATCATTTGTTGAATGCTAACTTAATATATATCACTAATATATTTATACTAGTATACATTTGTATTAGTGTCAAATCTTATTTGTGCATTATGGTTTCAATTTTCTACTCCTAATAAGTTTTATGGGTATCCACTGCAAGTAATGGTATATAGTACTCGATGAAATGTACCTTCTTCTCTAAAAGAGAATATTCCCACAAAATAATAACACCATCAGCATCTCCAGATAGCAGAAAGTGCTTTTCCAACTGCTTAGCTGCACTCACAACCCAATTCACAAAAGGAAATAAATAAAAGGTAAAATTCTATAAATAAGATGAAACATAATACATTTCTTCAAAAAAGACTGTAACTTTTTTTATAATATATGACTCATTTGCACCTCGCAGAAAAATTAGTAGCTACTTTTTTTCTTTTATATGACCAAATTAGTCAAACTTTTGGGACAAAACAAAGACACTCATATATGTGTGATGTGCATATTACACTTGTTTTACTCCAGTTTGCAGTAAATTATAAATATGAGCTCTAAATTCAAGTGGAAAAAAATCACAATGTAATGGACTATGAATACTTAAGTGCAGGTATAAGAAAGCTGAGGAAAAGTGACACCTTTAAAAGCATACTTGCTGCTAGGAATCCAATGAGTACAATTTACAGAGGCTTTGTGACCAGGGAGCGTAGTTAATATCTGTGCGGTCTGCACAGTAATTGAAATTCAAATAAAAACCAGAAGTATGTTATTGATGGAACTTAACAGAGAAAACTGGAATTGACATTGACAGCCCAGGGGCGGGCATTGAAGAGGAAAGAAAAAACCTCGGGGCAGAAAATAGCGACAGCATTTTGAGCACCAAAAGAGACCAAGCCGGAAGCACCCCAGGAAACGTTGTTCACTATTCTGTTGCAGCCAGCTCCGATAAAGACCCTTTCCACTCCAACTTGCATTCCGCCGCTGCTGACCGACGCCATTAGACTACTCTGTAGCTATATATATATTATTCAACGTATATATATCCGCCAGAGAGGGAGTGATTCGCCGTCCAGGCAGAGAGAACAGGTAGAGGAGCGCGCAGTGGAGGAATTGAAAAAAGGCTTCTTCAGGAGTTGGACCGCCTACAGTTAATCCAAAGGCCCGCAAGTATTAAGAAGCTGTTCCGTTCATCTTATCTGAATGTTTCTGATCTGAATTTTTTAAGTTCTGATCTGATCTGATCTAAGAATGTTTCTGATCTGAATTTTTTAAGTTCTGATCTGATCTGATCTAAATTTTTCTGATCTGATCTGATCTGATCTGAATCTGATCTGAATCTTTCTGATCTGATCTGATCTGATCTGAATAAAATAAGATTAAGGAATAAGTAATAAGATTAAGACGAACGGAACAGCTTCTAAGTAGCAGGGAAACTCGAAACAGAAACCTGATACAAGAAACTCGAAACTCGAGAAAAGTACGAAGTAATTTCTAAAAAGAAATAATTACATAAATATGATCAAAATTAAAACGATTTACAAAAATATGATTAGTTACTAGAGTAGTAATAAAATCATAGTAATTCATGTTCAAGTTTTGAACTTAAGTTACCACAACACTACGTTGTAGTAATGAATAGTCATATTTATGTAAGTAAGTTTTATTTTAGTAATATTCTTGTAAAAAAACCGTGGGGAACGCGTAAATATTAAAAAATATAAAGATATATTTATAAATATTTTTAAATATATGCACAAAAGTTTTTTCATATGCACATATTTTTTCCATATAATTTGTTTAGTAACCAAATAATAAAATCACTATACATGTTCGAATTTAGATATTATTTCATATTAGTACATAATTAAACATAAAATATATGGAGTAATACATTTCTTGTTAAAGTCTCACACCGGACATTTCTGAAAGAACTAAACACTATATTAAGATTTGAGTTACTCATCCTATTAGGTTGACCTTTTAGGATGGAACCTCGTGTCTTAACATGGTATCAGAGCCAAATCGATCAAAAACCATGGTGTGGCCCCCTATGAAAAATGTCGACACGATTACAAAAAAAATACAATGACAAACCGATGAAAAAAAAGAATGGCAGCACGATCCAGACGAAGTGTCTGGTCGTGAGGAGGGTGTTAAAGTCTCACGCCGGATATCTCTGAAAGAACTAAACACTATATTAAGATTTGGGCTACTCCTCCTATTAGGGTGACCTTTTAGGATTGAATCTCAGATCTTAACATTTCTAGCAATACATTGCGTTACGAAATGTAACAAGTGTTGCTGCTGAGAAATACCACAAAAATTCACTATTAAAAAAAAATTCCACCACAGAATTTTTAGAAAAGAAAAAAATGGAATCCGAGGTTTCCAGAACGTAGTGAAACGAGTTTCCAAATTTTTCTTAATTACGGAAACGGCCCCGAGATGGGAATTTGAAATTTCCGAGTTTCCGAAACGTGGAAATGTGAGCCATGGAGAGTTTCTGTGCTTCATAGATCAAGATCTAAACAAGATTTTTGCCCCAAACTAAACTGTATTCATTTAAAATACCGAATAAGAAATACTTTCAAATATATAATCTAAATAGATATAGTGGATAAAATTGTGACCTAATAACTATTGTTAACTACTCCGTACAACATAGGATTTTCATGTTTTTATTACCAAAATAGGACTAATTACTGCCATGTTTTGGTAGTATCAGACTTCAAATATGGCAGTATTTTCCAAACTTGACAGTAATTACTCTTATTTTGGGAATAAAAACATGACAGTCATATTTTGGAATTTTCAAACTTATTTACTCTTATTTTGGGGATTTTCCCTAAAATTTACTCATAATAATGTATAGTCGTGTTTTGTCCATGGATTTTTGTTATTAATATTTTAGGGAAAACATCTGTATGAGAATGTAAGAGAATATTTTGTCCATAGATTGCACACTCATGTTTCCGGTATTTCATGTATGAGAATGTAAGAGAATATTTTGATTTTGTATACTTCTTGAATAGTTGAAAAGGTGGTTTGATTTGATATTGATATGACATGATCATGCTTAGAAAATGGAATCGTATTGATCTTAGTTCTCAAACCAAATCATACTGTATCATTTGAAAATTTGCGGTGTAACAACGATTTGACAAAATTTCAACATGTCTTGGACTGTGCCCATTGCTCAATCCTATGCATAAGGGTTATAGACATAAAAGAAACAAAATAATTATTTGGAAGCATCTTGAAATAATTAGGGATGAAAGGAGTTTTTATAAAGGTCATAGCTCGAGGTACTTGCTTTTTGGGACACAAATTCCTATGTTGTTAAATGTTAACACTAACATATACTCCACTCCCTATATAACATGTTAATCATATCCCTTTTGCTCCGAAAAACATATCTTAGGTGTTTTTTTTCGACCCGGAGTATCCACGGGAAGTGGGGAAAGCGTCGGGGATCACTTTCCAAATTTATTTAAAACTTAAAGTTACAAAATAGAGTTCAACAAGCAAAAAACAAATAGAAACGCATAGAGAAAGTTTAGTGAACATTGTTATACTCCCTCCGTTCTTTATTATTTGTCTCTCATTCCATTTTGGACTGTTTTTCCCCCCTTCCATTTAATGAAAGTTTTTACTCTAAATATACCAATATACGATCCCATCTTTTACCCTCATTTATTATCCCTACAACTAAACTCATTTAATTCTCCACCCACTACCTTAATTACACCCAACCGCCTAACATTATCTTCCATCCTTTCACATCTCACCGCCTAACATTATCTTCACTGCTTCAAAATTTTGTAGTTTACTCACTACATCAGTTAACTGACCTTGCAAATGTATTATATGGAGTACATTAATTTACATATGTAAGGTGGGAATTTGATCTATTCAAATATGTGGAGTGGTCATTGTCTCATTGTCCTCCAATGCAGCATTTAAATGAGCAACTATTTATGAAATGAATTGACCATTAACTTCCGAATTACTTGGTAGCAGTTCCTGTTTTCCAATCTTTGTTTTCCCATGTGTGGCCTTTTGTAGTTGTTGCCTCATGTGCATTTCAAATTCTCAACCATGACACATTGTAATTGAAGCCAATTGTGATTTCCCTTATGTGCTTCAAATTTTGCATATGCCTCTTGTACTGATGTAACCAATTGATGGATTATCTTTGGACTTTTCTGGTACTGAATTGTTTGTATTGCCCCCAAAAAAACCAGATCTGAGATATTTAGATCGGGGGAATTAGGTGACTGAAAGACCAACAACATATCCCACCCATCCATTCTACCAGCAACCATAAATGTTGCATCATTCATACCAATGTGAGGCTTTGCATTGTTTTGTTGTATCCATATAGTTTTACATGCATTGGGGGGACATTTTTATTTGATCACTGGAATCAAGTCTATGAGAAATGCATTTCTGATGACTTTCTTTGTGATGGATGTGGTTGCCTTAATTTCAAGTGTGTATGCACTTCCGTTTTTGCTTTTTCTCTTTGCTGCCACTAAATATGTGAAAGGTAAAATTCCAATTTTCCATCATCATTGATCCATGGTCTAGCAATGGCTGCCAAAAACATTACCTTGTTGATAAATCTTTTGATTTGATAGCTTCTATGAGGATCCTCCTCAGAGGGTAAAAGATAGTATCATTGAGTAACTTGGCTCATAAAGAACCACTTCTCATCCACGTGTATGACATTGAACATATTTGTAAACCGTGGAGGTTGAGTGATGCTTCTTGGAACAATGTGACACATTGACCACTTTAATCTCTCCAGTTTGTTCTTGTCGTTTAAAGCATGCTTTATTGTATTCGTGTGTGCTCTTCTAATACCAGTAATTAGTAACTTATAGATTTTGGAAACACTGACCCCAAGAGAAGCCGCAAAGCTTATCAGAGTGGTCATGTTGCTCTTTGGAATGGCACATATTTGTTCTATGTCGATTGTTATAGTTTTCCTGCCACAGTTCCCTTTCCTTTTACCGTTTGTGTTTATTTCCAAACCTTGTTCAACTTGTTGTTTTGTTGTTGCCCAGAATCTGCCAACTGTCTTAGTGCAAACATTGTGGGGACTGGCAAGTTCTTTGAGTACTCCTCTCTTACAAGTCAACACTTTTGTCTCACAACATTCACTTGACTTTGATAACAAATCTTCAGCTATTATCCTTGTTTTTTGACTTTGTGATTGATATACATGCTTTTGCAGGTACAAATTCATGTGAGTTTGGTTCTGTGTTCTCAAGAAATGGGAGGTCATCTTCAGAAAAGTCATCACCTTCGTCTGCTTCAGCTGCAATGCCTTGCTCAATAAGCATCATCTCTTATGGAGGAATACAAAAAGAACATGTTGCACTCATCTCAAGTCCAGATTCGCTGGAAAAGATGCGCAGAAAGGCTGATATTCTTTGTTGTTTTGGTGGAGAAGATGTGCAGAAAAGCTGATATTCTTTGTTTTTTTGCTATTTTTGGAGGGAAGTGGAAAAATAGCTAGCCTTTTTGATTTATAGCAAGTGTTGTAGGCCTTTATTTGGAGGGAAGTGTCATCTTGAAGTAATTTGGGCGCAATAGCATTAAGAGTAGGCCCCCATGCTTGATTGTATGCATGTCAATCTTCTCTTTCCTTTGAATTTGCTCGTTTTCTCTTTTCTTTCCTCTTCCACGAATTTAATTACATCTATTAATCCATTCTCTTTCATACTTTTCCATTTATTCACATCTCACTACACTTTTTACTTTACTCCTATTTTATTATTAGAACACGTGCCCAAGACTAGAGAGACAAATAATAAAGAACGGAGTATCATATTTAAAATTATGTATGCATTGACACTGCATGTTTACCGGTGTATAAGATATTAAGATACTACGTATTTATTACCATAGACCTAATATTTCTAATTTGCACAAAGTCTCCTAAAAGTCTTAGCTGGTCCGTCCCGAGAGAATCCAAACCCTATGGTTTAACATGGGAGACAAGGTCAGGAGTCAAAACAAGTGGCTAAGAAACACAGAATTTCGGATGTCATACATTTCATTCACAACAATAATATTATGGTCAATGTACTATTAACAATCGAGGTTAGCATATCTACAATGGCACATGTACTATTTCATCATTTATTCATATTTAAATTACTTCACTGCTATTGGTCCATGTACACAAGGTACGGTACCTTAAGAGTATATTAGAATTGCTCTAATAATATAGACATATGTTGCAAGACCACCTCCAAATGTTTATAAAAGTGTTTCGCATGATCTGAAAAATACTCATTACATATCCAAACCAGAACGATGAAGAATTGTTTCACACCGATTGACCATTCTTTCCCGTAGATTCGGGCAAACTGGACATGTTCACTTCATTGTGGTGCTTTTGCCAACCACCTATGGCAGCCTTGGAATGCGACCAATAGTACACAGAGGAGCAAATCATTGAGAGAATTGTCAATGCTGCTCCAGCGGCAAACACGCCTTTGCGCAGCGTAGCACATGACAAGTCATCACCCTCGAAGATTCCTCTGTATTTAGTGTGGTATGCATTCCTTGCTGATCCACCCAATAAACAAGCCTCTGCCGCCAAAAAGCAAATCCTGTATTGTTGAAAAGATTATATGTCGTAATTAATACTCTAGTTCCATATACATCAATGCATTGACTTGATCAGATTCATACAGTTCCCTCCTCTAGATGCCACACTACCACACTAATAACAATGCGAGAACTAAACTAATTACCAATAAATTATGACCCAGGTTATGCCAAAACCCTGAAGGAAAAGTTCTCCAATGCCTTATAGTTATTGGTATGACATTTTATATTTAGCCCAATTGGGAAGAGAAGGACTCTTCAATAGTTCAATATTCTCCTGCTCAACTCTCATTCAAGAGTCAAGACTAAAGAACATTTAGTAAATAAATGGGAAAAATGGATAAGCCAATTAGCCAAACAAAGATACACTCACCCTCAGTTCAACGTGAAGTTGCTTAGCATCAACTATTCAGGAACTTATACTAATACCTTATAGGACTGGTCAAGTGATCTTCAAGATGGTTTTTGCCCCATGAGTTGGAACTTGGAAGCTTTATAATAATGGTGCAAGAATACTCTCATAAATTCTTTGGAGCAACAATTTTTTTAGAATACGGTTATTATGTATGAAATGTGAACTTTATAACAGAAAACAGTTACGTACAACCCGTCTAAGTTGTCAGAAACTCAGATGTCAGACCTAATAGCAATGGGAGGCAGGTAGAGATGCTAAATAACGTAAAACAGACTGGTTTTTGGTTTGACATATAGCTTATTGGCACATTGTTAATGCATACATAATTAAGACATCAAGTTGGGAATTGGGATTGAACAAAATCATATCATAAATTAGGAAATGTAACAACTATTTGAGAATTTTAGCTTAATGTAAATTATGTAAGCAATGATACCCACCTAATCTTATATTAGTCCACTTGAAGAAAAAATTCAAACAAAATTAAATAAATGTAAATTTAAACACATCATGGCTAAGAAAACCCTAGATTAGGTTAACCCCACCATCGGAGAATAAGTAGCTGTCATCCTCAGCTCACAAACTCAGAAGTTAGAATGCAGTCCAAGTTGGCGTGTAGGTTGATGTACTGCAAGATCTAGAAGTTAGTTTTTTATTTATTAGGACTGTTATTTCTATTTTGCAAGTTAGCTTACATAATACTACGTATATACACAATAAGTTCACATCTAGTTCTTCCTGGTGCAACTCTTTCATGTATAACTCATTCCTCATCCTTCCGTGAAAATTTATCCATATGCCACTGCACTTTTGTGCATGAAGTTATGATAATGATCATATATATAATAATTTCACATGTTTGGATATTTATTTTAAAACTAGGGTCCACAGATTTTTTTATAACTAAAATGCATCATTGTATCCCATATGTTTTTATAAATAACTGATATTCCCTCCGTCCCGGTGGACTTTGCCAAGTGTAAAGTTGGTGAGAAATAAGAATAGTAAAAATTGTGTGGTTGACATTTGTGTAGAGGAGAGAGAAATGTCCAGAACTACAAATTAGTTGCTTTAATAGGAAAGTGGCAAAGTTTTTTGGGACAACCAAAAAGAGAAAATTGACAAAGTCTAATGGGACGGAGGGAGTATGATATTTGAGGTATTTTTTATCATCGCATAGAATATTAAGCATGGTTCTGAAAATCGTTGAGCATGCACCTCGAATCAAGGCTCATGCTGAACGAGTGGAACCACACTAGTGAAAGATCTCGTCAAGACTGGCTTTGTAGAAGTCTACTCCAAAATCACACTCTCTGATTGTGTGTGCTAGCATCATTTCAATATTGGCAATCAGCTACTCTCTACGCCCGCCCCCCCACTTTGTTAGAGGTTGGATGATTCCTTGCAGAATGAGGCTCCCTTACACAAGAGAACATTCAGCAATCCTGAGCATGTTTCGTACACCAATAAGAGGAGATCTATAGGGAGGGGGGAAAACGAGCAAAGTGAAATGTAGTAGGAGATTGTTAGAACTTTGAATAGAGGGGTTCCGCCCCTTGTATTTTACTCATTTCAAATCCCTGTTTTTATAGCATAGGTTATACACACCAAAGCAAACGAACTAGGATGATAGTCATTGGGAAGACATACAATCCTTAGCCGAACTGGAAAGTAATCAAGTATTATGATCCTCAAAAGAACCAGAAGGCAGAAGCTATTCAAGAACCAATTTTTTTTCATGTGGAAAACCTGGACAATGGCCTGGCCGCCTCAGGAACTCTTTTTACATATTCCTAAACATCTTTCTATCTTGATCATTTTTCATCAATCCTTAGATGTCTCTATTTCAGTGTCATAAGAAAATCTTCAAAAATGCCCACCCAAAATGGTGGGTAACATAGCAACGATAGCATCAACTTCAAAGGTCTCTGAGATTAGAGAAGGAACTTTGAAGTCCTTTAAAAATTGAGGAAGGTGAGCTCAAGAGTCCATACATCGTAAATTCGTAATTTAGGAACCAGAGTACGAAAAAATTTCAAGCTTACCAAGAGAAGAAGAAGAAAAGAGCACGAGTGGTAGATTTCCCAGCCAGTGTCCCTCTCCCTAAACACAAACACTTGGTAACACCGTTCACCACGGCTTGGCTGATGAGAAGCAGCCCAAACGCCCCCAATCCGTACACCGTCGATGCGTCCGTTCCGTACACGCAGTACGTCCTCTCGTCATACTCATCTGGCACCACTTTCGCCTTTCGTATCCATTTACAAAAAAAAAACTGTAAGTGATTACTACCGCAACCGACAGAGGAATTATACATTTATACTATTTGAAATGTCACTTTTGCCTATGAGCACACTTGATCTGAAGAGAAGTACAAGAAAAACGCAGAGATATTTTGAGCACAGAAGCGAAAAATGAGAAAGAGTTACCGTGCTACGGCGCCTTTCCGCACCGATGGCGAGAATGAAGGCTAATAGGTGAAAGGAGATGAGTAGAGCTAGAACAGGTATGGAGACCGCCATTAATGGTGGCCGGTGTTCTTGATCTGATTTTCTTCTACTGCGAGTTGTTGTCCGGTGATGGAATTTTGTTCACTTTGTCCCTGTAAAACAACGGCTATTTGGTTTTACAGCTTTTGCTGAAATCGTTTTTGGCTGCTAGCATGCTGTGTTTGCTTTATTACTTTATTGCGCTACTTCTTGTCTTAACTCTTAACTCATCTAGCCTAGCGACATAGACATCGTTTGCTTTATTGTCCTACCACATTTCCGTGTACACAAATCTAGGCCTCACTAACACGGAAACCCCAAAAGTGAAACGTGAAACTTGAAACGCTAGAAACATAATTTCTAAAAAATATAGGATTCGAAATATGGGGGAAACACGTAAATATTATCAGATATAAGGATATATTTATAAATATTTTTAATATATGTACACAAGTTTTTCCATATGCACATGTTTTTTCATATAATTTGTTTAGTAACCAAATAATAAAATTACTCTACATGTCCGAATTTAGATATTATTTCAAATTAGTACATAATTAAACATAAAATGTACGGAGTAATACATTTCTAGCAATACATTGTGTTACGAAATGTAACAAGTGTTGCTGCTGAGAAATACCACAAAAAGTCACTATTAAAAAAAAATTTCACCACAGAATCTTTAAAAAAGAAAAAAAACATTGGAATCTGAAGCTTCCGAAACGTAGTGAAACGGGCTTCCAAATTTTTCTTAATTACGGAAATGGCTCCGAAACGGGAATTTGAAGTTTCTGAGTTTCCGAAACGCTTCCGAGTTTCCAAAACGTGGAAACGTGAACCGTGTAGAGTTTCCGTGCTTCATACAACAAATCACTACACTGTATTTTAGCATAAAACTCAGGTTTTTCTCAAACGAATTGTCAGTGCGCACACACACAAAATTAGGAAGATTTTATATAATTTGTATACTAATTTTGTGTAGATTTATTTTTTTTGAAAACTATTTCCAATTTTAAATAAAACTATATTTTGTGCTTAAAATTGACTGAAATGACTAATTGTGTTGAATTGATTCTAATAAAATATGTAGTTAAAATAGGCATGGACCAGTTCCGGACCGGGCCGGGCTCCAGGCCGATCTAAACCGGACTTTTTATTGTTGGTGAAGGGCCCGGAACTGGCCCGGAACTGGCCCGGGATTCCACCGGGTTCGGGCCAGGCCAGGCCGGGCCGGTCTCGAGGCGGTTCTTAATTTTTATTTTTATTTTGCCTTTTTAATTAACCCCCAATCCCCCCGACCCCCCACCAAAACACCCAGCCCAACCCTTCTACAACCAAAAAAATGAAGGGAAATAAAATTATAGGTCCAGACCAGGCTCGGACTAGTCGAGCCGGTTCCAAAGGAAGGGCAAGCCCGGAACCGCCCCGGCCTATCACCTCGGGCCGGTCCTAGGCCCGATTCCCAGGCCGGTTCACTGGGCCGGTCCGGGCCCGCACAATGGCGGGCCGAGCCAGTTCCCTGACCGGTTAGACCGGAACCGATCCATGCCTGGTTAAAAATGTTACTTCGTATATGGAAAGTATTAGAATCCACCTTCCAAAAATCATTTCTAAATACCGATTTGCTCCAATACCGATTCCAGGTGATGCCCAAACAGTACCAATTTTGGAGTTCGTATACCGTGGTATCACCCTACGGTGAGCATCATGCTCCCACACCCAAAACGACGTAGTTTTGCACAATTTTTTTTTTAAAAATTCGCGTGAACAGTAACGCATGAACAGTACACGCGTGTACAGTAACTGTTTTTTTATCCCAGTAGTATCAATGATGTAACTCGTGTATAAAGATATGTAACTCACGTTATTGATCAATGTAACTCAAATCCATTCGAAATGTAACTTATCAAATACATACTATAAGAAATAAAACATTGATTTCAATGCAAACAATGAAAAAAAGAGTCTAACTACACAATTACTTGAAGTAAATCGTGAATATGTTTTGTTTTTAATATTATGACCACCTCAAGGATTTAAAAAAATCATTTTTTTGTTTCAATAGCAGGAGTTATTTTTTTATGTAATTCATGTTATTACAAATGTAACTTACATTGATGACAAATGTAACTTGCGCTTCAACTCACTTATAAAATAATGTAACTCAAGAATAAAAATATGTAACTCGTACATGAGAAGGTGTAACTCGCGCAGGAGAAGGTGTAAACGTGTAACTCAAATGTAAATCACATACATCAAAATTTAATCGCCTGTTAATTACCAATTTCATATCATCCGATAGTGATGGGTAAAAAAAATTCAGAAACTTCTTGAAACCATATTAACAATTTGTTAATATGGTTTAACAAATAATAACAAATTAAAGCAATCTCTGGTTTATAATAACAAATTAAAGCAAACTTCAGAAACATATACTCCGTATACTACACCGCTGCCCAAATAGCAGAGCACGGCTTCACTGCGAACAAGTTGCTGGACTGCCTGGACATGAAGGAAGACGAGATTGACCGATCTGTACTAAATCTTCCAGTGGGATTTGCTCGTCAGCATCAAAGCTGCCATCAAGGCTCTCGCCGCCGCCTTGTGAATGAGCTGTTGCACTGCCGCCACTTCCTCGCCGGCGATAGTTTATGACCAACGTCCGATGCTCTATCTCAAGAAGAAACGCACAAAGCCTCTTTTTAATCTTGCGGAATTTAATTAACACGGAGAAAAAATATGTGATTTTGGGATCGGTACACCATGAGGATGGTGCACCGATCCCACGGTATAATTTGCCCCAATTTTGGGTCAAGCCCATCACGATACTTGCATATTATTATTTCGAAAAATAAAAATTCTACCCATTTGGCCCGAGCCAAGCCCCAAAATTCAAGCCCATAGCCGGCTCTATATATCCTCGAGCCAAGGCCGGGCCGGTACCGACATAAAAATACCAAGCCATTCGGGCCCAATTACTATTTTTTTCCCATTGGGCTGGCTGCGGCTTGGGGGTGGGCCCGGTGGGGGTTGGAATTAATTCGGAAAGATAAAATTAAATAATAAAAAATTAAGGCCCGACCAGGTCCCGGTACAATTGTACAAACCCAGGCCGGTACCATGCCTGATGTTTTTGGGCCCGAATCCCGCCCAGTCCCGGCCCGAACCCCAGTCCACCCCTACTTCCGTCCCATAAAACTTACTCTGAACTGATTACATGTAGATTAATTAAGTAAGAAACCCGACATGGCGACATGTGCTGTTAAATAATACTACTACGTAGAAATAAAGTAATTGACATTCTACAACACTACAATACTACATGCTAATGTGTTAAAGAAATCCGTCAATGTTACACAAAGGGGAAACTCAATTTCAGACTTGAAAAACTCTGCTAAAACTCCCCCACAAAGTTGCAATATGTAGTACTCCGTACCATACAGTCCCACATTTTATCCAGCCTGGAGAAAAAGGCCAGCTCTTTTAAACTACTATGTCCTGCTCACCGCCTCCTCACCCTACAAGGGTGGTCGCACCTCTCTTGCTCATATTATCATACCCATACCTTGCAGTATGTTTTTTCTACAATTGTTTTTTTCTTCATCTTCTCTTATGATTATAAACAGTCTGGAACCATTATGCATAAACCCAGACCACCCTCACCTTCCAAACCAGATCAGCTGTAGGGTCAAGCAAATACATGTTTCAGATTACTGTGGAGTGGTACCAACTTAACTCCAATTTCGGCAGAAAAAGCTAAAATCTGGGTGATTGGCCTGAAGTGCTGTCAGCCAGTTCCCAGCAGCCTGCAGAAGTGAGTTGACCACCTCATATTCACAGCCTTCATGGTCGGGTACCCATTGCGATGCTATGAACTTGTAAGAAGCAAGGCCAAAAACAGATAAGCGAATATTGAGGATGCTATCCATCTCGCTTGCAGCACCTGAATCTTTTGTTTCTACAGAAGAAAGCATATAAAGCAGTACAGAAATTTAGAGACGAAACACATGAATGATTCCATGAAGGAAATAAACAACTTTCACATCCATAACAGAATATTCCAATTTGGTCACTTTAAGTGTTACTCCATAGGTCCCTTCTCAATTCTTGACAATAACTTTTATTTTTTCCATTTCTGACGCAGTAGGGTTTTCTCACTTTTAGTCCTTTCGGGTCACTTATCTGATGAAAATGAATGAAAATTGTATGGGACGAAATTAACAAGATATTGTGGAAAACTGGAAAATGGACAATAGTGGAAAATGGAGTTGTGGATATAAAATGACAATGACCTGATAATCAAGGGAGGAATATTTCTACATAACACGGTTGGGAAGATATAGTTGAACAAAAAAAAAGATGCAATTCATACAGTTAAAGGTACCTGTCCCAGTTGTATGAAGATAATGATAGGAAAGAAAACAAGCATCTAGGGGTTTAAGAGTAGGTCCCATTGGTATCCGATAAATTGGGTACCTACATAAGTAACGCGCAATGACCACTAAGGGGAAATGCACATGCAATTAATATGCTTTATGAACAAACACAAGGATAATCAGTGGTACCAGGCTACAGAAATCCAGCTTGAGGGAAGTATGTCACAACTTCTAAGCGTTTTCAGCTCAGGAAAGCACACAGCAAGGTTTGATATCTGTAAAATTAACAATAAGATGTCCCTTCAAGCTATTATTTAAATGCATATATTTTAATTGTTGAAAACATGAAAAAAAACGACCTTTTCTGCAAAAGGTTCCCGACCATGTGGAGGACTCCTCTCAAAATATTCAAACACCAAGTAACATTGAGAACACACAGATTCACCCTCATCGCTGGAAAACCCTTCTTGAAAATTAGTATTTTCATCTCCTAATGGCGACTTGCTATTCCTAAATAAGTTTTCACAGGTTGAGTGATTTAGGCAATTTCTATCCTGTTCAGAATCACTGCTTCCACCACTACTACTAGAATCTCCAAAATTGCCAACATCGCTATCCTCTCCTGGTTGCCTATGAGATAAAATTCAGAAGGAAGTTAAGAGTCACAGATTTAGGAGATTGCAATAAACAAATAAGCTTTGGGTGATGATAAACAATGAACATATTCTAGAAGCATTTAAAAGAGCACACGAAATAGAGTAGATCAGATGAAATGTGGCCTGTGGACCTTAGCGTGCACAGATTATTAATAAATGCCTAAAGCATTGAGCTTCAGTATAAGTTGACAAAATTGAGTCAAAGGTTAACATATCCACTAAAACAAAAAAA